GCTCCCCCTCAACCCCCCAGCCTCGCCGAGCTCCCCCCGCCCAGCGCAGAGTCCTTCGGCTGGGTCACAGCCTCGCCCTCGCGATGGGGCAGGGTTGGTTTTCAGGGTTCTTTGAAAAGCAAGAGACGGCCTTCGGACGCGCAGGCAGAGCCCGCAGGCGGCGCCGCAGGTGCGCCACGCCGCGCCTGGCGCCGCCCCGGCACAGCTGCTGCAGGAGGGAGTGCGGGCCGGTGCCGAGGACCCGCCCAAGCTGCTGGAAGGTTAAAGGCTCTCCAGGATCCGGCTCAGAGACCGCCCCCTCCGGCCTCTCTTCCCCAGACTCAGACGGTCCATCCCTAAGGCCACTCCCTGAATAACCAAGCACGTCCCCATCTCAAACTCCAAGCCTTTATTCAGGCTGTACGCTCTCCCTGAGTATGCTACCCCAGACAAAAGCTTACCCATTCTCCCAGACTCATCTTCAACGGCTTCTCCATAAAGCCTTTCCCTGCCACCCTGCCCACCCCCATCACTGAACCAGCCGACCACAGGTCTCAGCAGGAGCCTCTCTGCCAGGCCCAGGGAGTGCAGCCGGGATCCTGACGGCAAGGTCCTAATTAATGGCTGACCTGCTCTACGCTCTGCCTCTGCCACAGCTTGTCATCACACAGCAAGCTCCTGGCCTTGGGGCCACCGGGTCGTCCCACAGTGTTTCCCACCAGGAAGTGATTGCTTAGAGGGCCAGACCCTAAGGTTCCCACAGCCCCCAGAACAGACTGGGGGAACAGGAGGAGGGTAGGACATCCTGTCTCCCAGTGGACAGTGGACACCAGCCCCAGCAACACATGATCCAGATGTTGCTCTGGGAAAGGTGGGCAGTAGGCCAGGGCATAGCTTGATAAACTTAATGACAGGAGAGGGGGGAAAAGAGCTCAGAGGGAGAAAAGACGGGAGGCTCAGCAAGCCCCGCAGCAGTAGACAGGTGACCCAAATCTCCAGGCAGAATAGAATGCTAACCTTCTCTACCACTCACTTTCTGCCTACAAAATCCAAACCTGCAGACGCTAAAAAAGATCTATCGTCTTTGCTTCCAAGTTGCCACCCAGAGGGAGGGTGTTCTAGGCGTGGAAAAGCTCCCCACCACGCAGACTGGGACCTGAAGCCTGTACCTCCACAACCACCTGAAGGCCAGTCCTCCAGTCCAGGGCAGGAGACCACAGGTGCCTTGGCCTCAAAATGGAGGTGGGGTTGTAGGTTCGCAAAGTAGAAGCAGCTTAGTATTCCAGGAACACTAGGCTATCCTTTTCCCATTTTACAGGTAGGAAACTGACGCGTACAGAGGTAAAACGGTATCTCAGGTGCAAAGCACATTCGCTGCAGCAGGCAGGTATCTGGAAGCCAGGTTCCTGCACACCTTGCCTAGAGCTCATTCACTCCCCTACACTCATTCATTCTTCCTGGGCTCTGAGCTGGGTCCTAAACCCTGTTGATGACCGGAAACGGCGAGTGGGGACACTCTTCCTCCCCGCTGACACCTATACTGCCTCCTTCAGGGCTGTTAAGTCCTAGGTCCCAAGCGTCAGGGCGTCCCCCAGTGGTCTGTCTGGGCAGAGACGCTCGAAGGCTGGGGACAAAACCACGTGTGTATCGGGGGAGGGGCACCGGTCCGCGATTGGCCAAACAGACCGCTGCTCCCAAGCAGATGTCCTGGGTACAAAGCCCCGCAGTCGCTCAGCCTTGGGCCTCAGAAAACGCTGCGCCTGCGCCGCAGATACCCCGCCTCCCTCCCTCGGAAAGAGCTTCACGGGCGGTGCGGGGGGAGGCAGGAGGCCCCCGGCACCCTCCGCAAAGCGCAGGAGCAGCTAGGCCCGCCCCGGAACCCCAGCCCCTAGGTCGCTCGGTCCGCAGAAAGTAAAACGCTCCCCGCGGGAGACCTCGAGGCCCTCCTCGGCGCCACAGTCCCACACCTCGGATGCTTTTGGAGCCCTCTGCACGCCAGAGGCGCCGCCTTTTGTCCACTCCCGGAGAAAGGAGAGAGCAGGCCACAGGGGTGAGAGGAAGAGGCGGGAGAGGCTTCGCAGCCCCGGGGCGATGCCGCGCGGGTGACACTGACCGCGGCTCCAGACAGCTCCCAGCCCTGCACAAAAGGCCCTCGCCTTCCTGACAGGGGGGGTGGGGAGGCTGGAGAGGAATGCTACCCCCATTTCACATGTGGAGAAGCTGAGATTCAAGAGGGAGAAGTGCCTTAGCTGAAAACCAGGGTTCCCTGGTCCTGGCCCTGGCTTCGCGGTCCGTGGCCCTGAAGCCTCCCTCGTGGGCTCGGAAGCCCGGCTCCCCAGCGAGGTGGGCTGGGGGAGATAGAGTAGGGGTGGAAAACAGGAGACCGGACGCTCTCATAGCTCCTTCCCGCGCCACCCCCGCCCCGCCCCGTCCCCTTCCCTCCGCCGGGCATAGGTTTCAGGACCATGGAGAGGTCCCGAGTTTTGGGGACAGAAAACCGCCTGCGAGGCAATGGGGACTTACTACTGCATCAGAGCAACCAGCCTACCCCCACTCATCCAGGAAGACCTCTCAGATTTCTATCCGGATACGCTCTGCTTCCTCCTGGCTCACTTAGGCCTCTCACAGCATTTAAGGGGAGAAGCGTTAATAAAAATGATAATACAACTCAACGACTACCATTTATTGAATGCGCACTACCTACCGGCATTAACTGACTTAGTTCTCACAATGAATCTGTCGCCAAACCTGGCCTGGGGTGGGGCTGGGGTGCTGAGCCAGGATCCCAGCACCTACCAGGGGGCTGGGACCTGAGCGGTGCTCAGACACCTACTTCTGGACTAAGCCGACAAGCTGGTGAGCCCTTGAGTGCTCCAACTTCTGTTTTCCAGGACCCGGCTCTGACACTCACCCATACATCCCAAAGCTGTGCCCTCTATCCATCCATCTTCCCTCGGTTCCCTGGCGACCTCCAGCTCAAGGGAGAAGAACCACGGGGCCCAAGGCCTGGAGTTACCGCTCCTTGATTCTTCCACGGGGCGGGGGGGGGGGGCTTCAAGTCTAGGAGAGCTAGCGCCCCGGGTTCAAATCCCCGCTCTGCCTGCAGTGTGCCCTGTGAAGTGAGCACACAGGAGTCGTGCCGCGGGACTCGGGAGCGGTCCCTGTAGATGCCGGGGCTTGGGGGTCGCAGCAGTTTCCATTTCTGTCTGCACCACGATCTAAATCTTGAACCTAATCCTTCCCCGAGAAAGTACAGAGGGAGCGCTCAGAAGAGGCTTTTTCCAGCTTTAAGCTGCGCGACCACAGGCACATCACTGAACCTGTCCCAGCGCCCGGCACATAGTAGGTGCTCTATAATTACTGAGGGACTGAATAAATAAATGGACGAATGCTGAACGGAACTGCCCTTCTTTTCTTAAAAAGAAAAGCACTGCCCTCGATTAAATTCACCCCAGGGGTCGCTTCGCGTTTTTTGGATCCATGTGGTGGCTTAGCCAACTTCCTTCCCCTCTCAGAACCTCGCTCTCCCCTGCTGCAGAAGAGGCGAAGGGACTGGACCGCGAAGGGCCTTTTGTAGTCTCATAAACTATGCTGGTCAGTCCTGGCCGGGTGGCACAACCTCTCCTAACCTCCAACGCGATGGAGTGGGGGAGGGGCCTTCCGTCGCGCCCCCCAGCCCGGGGGCGGCGGCCCCGGCACTCCCGACCCAGCGCTGCCCTCCGGCGACCCCTCGCCCAGCAGCCCCGACGTCCCCGCCCCCCTCGCCCGGCCCACGCTCGCCCCGAGGGTACCTGGCCATTGTCCCGGCCGAGCGGTAGGTCGCGGGGCGCGGGGCAGCGGATGCGCAGCGCGGGCGGTCGCTCGTCGCGCTCACCGGGGGAGCTGACGGCCGAGCCCGAGGGCTCGCTCACGTCGCTGGCCGTGTCCTCGCTGCCGCCGGGCCCCGGCAGGCCGACGGCGTCCAGGCGGCCGGCACTGCGCGGCGTGCGCGCCGAGCCACGGCGGCCCACGCTGTACGCGTCGAAGTCGATGGTCTTGTTCTCGTAGGCGCCCTCCACCGCGGCGAACATGCCGCCGTACTTCTGGCGCGGGGTCTGCGCCGCGCTGCCCGGCCGCGCCAGGTACACGGGCAGGTCGTCCTCCATGTTCCACGCGCGCCGCCGGTCCGCCATACCGGTCCGAGGCCGGCCGCCAGGCTGAGCTCCGGCCGTGCGCCGCGCTCCCAGCCACAGCCGTGCGCCGCGCTCCGCGCTGGGTGCGGGCCCGCGGCGGCCCAGGCTCGACTGCGGCCCGGGGCG